CAGTGCAGAAACTCAGGGTATGTGTCAGGGTATGTGTGTGTGTGTGTGTGTGTGTGTGTGTGTGTGTGTGTGTGTGTGTGTTTTGTTTAGGGAGGAAAGAACCTTGGATGAAGGGCGGTAAAGACACCATCTTTATGTCCTTATTTGCCATCGCTCTAGATGAAGAACACTTTTTGATTTCCCTCTTGATCTTGCTGAAGTCATCTCTAGAGACTGGGTTTCACAAATGATCTTTATTTCATTGCTTAGGGCCCTATTAATTTAATGGCCTCATTCAGAGTCACATTAATTTCAAACTGACAACGTAATCCAGCCACAACTGCACAAGTACAACAGACACCCTGGACAAAACTGGCCACATCCAAACAGAGAAGCATGAGAACAGGTAACCATCGTCTCATTCAGCACCCACAATAGGACAAACTTCCTGAAAGTAGCTATTCATATGCTTGGTCAAATCCACATCACAAATTGAACATTCCCAGCCATGAAAAAGTCACCCAGCTGCTACACTAATGAACAATTCCATAGGCCTCCCTTAGGCACCTGGACAGCATTCTTGCTGCAGGTCAGTTTGAATCCCTGCCCTTATACGAGGGGGCTTCTAGAAGATCGTGAAAGTTTTTCATTCTCTTTCAATTCTATCTTTCACAAACTTTTTGAAGACCCTTCATATTGTTAATTTTGTTGTTGTTATGTGCCGTGGAGTAGGTTCCGACTCACAGCAATGCTGTATAGGGTTTCCAAGGCTGTAAATCTTTACAGGAGCAGAAAGCCTCATCTTTCTCCCGCAGAACAGCTGGTAGTTTCAAACTGCTGACTGTGAGATTAGCAGCCCAAAGCTACCAGACCACCTTCATATTGTTAATACCAGCTGGGAAAACAAAAGAAAAAAATCTAATTCTTTATTTGGAAACTTTTATCGCTATGTTCAGAAATCCTGTATATCTGACTCCAGGATGGCGCTGCAGGATAACGCACTGGACCACAAGGTCAGTTTAAACCTCAAGACTGGCAGTTCAAACCTACCAGCTGCTCTTCAGAAACCCTAGACAGAGTTGCTATAAGTTGGAACTGATCAATAGCACTTAACAACAACAACATGTTTTTAAGTGCCATCAAGTGGGTTCCAATTCATAGTGACCTTGTCTGGGGTTTCTGAGGAGCAGCTGGTGGGTTTGAACAACCAACCTTGCGTTAGCAACTCATTGCTTATCTTACAGTGCTACACCAGAACTCTGATCTATCCATGGTCACCCTGAAAATCTTAAAAATATTTCTGTTGCCAGCACCCCATATATAAGTTGAGTTTAGGGCCCACTTCATAAACAAATGTTGCTACCTAGACTGGTCCTTTCTCCAAACAGGTACCCCATTCTTTAATTCTTTCCCTCTAAGCATTTTCAAGGAGTCCTGGTGTGTCGCTTCGAGTTAATGTGCTGGAAAAGGTGAATTGTTCAAAAGGTAGGTTTGAACTGCAAGGTCAGGGGTTCAAGTTCACCAGCTGCTCCTCAGAAACTGACTCAAAGGCACTTAACAACAACAAGCATTTTCAAAATTTGGTAGCTGCATATTTCATCCAACTTATTTAATAAGTGTATGAAGCAGTCACTATTTGATGGATGCTAAAGAGTACAGGTTTGTGGCAGTCCTTGTCTGCAAGGTACCAACTGGTCAGTCTGAATGAGGTCTTTCAGGACTCTGAGCTCCCTGAAACTCAAGCACCCAGCCTGACCTTGTGTCTCTGACTGGTTTCAAGCGACTATTTGTTGACTATATGCATGGGGTAGACTCTGCTTTATAAAGATAGCTTTCTAATTAACAAAGGCATTCCAAAGGCAAAGGAGTAAGTCAAGCATGCTACCTACTGAGCAGAACTTGAAAATAAAAATTACTCTGATGACAAGCTCTGCAGAATATTTCCTCCTGCTGATGGACATATTGCCAGGTTGGGAAATGTGAAAGGATCTCTTTCCTATTTGCTGCCTCAGAACTGGTCACAGGCTCTGTAGCAATTTGTTGTAGCCCCGGTCTGCTTACACAAGGGGCTGACAGGAGCTTGTTAACACCAAAAAAAAAATGCGTCTTTCCTCCTCCTATCTGTGGAAGCTGAATGTCACCGATACAACTATCTCAGACTTTACTGGTAACACCTGTCTCACTTTCCTAGAATGCGGCAAGGTACAAATCTCCAGGAGCAACAATTCACCTTTTCAAATTACAGAGCCAAGGAGTGGGAAAGTGTAGAGTATGCAGCTACTACAAAACAAGGGAATGGGAGGGAAGTCTTTTGAAACAAGGGGAGAACTGTTGATGCTTAGCTTAAAATTTCATCTGAGCAGAGGCCCAGGAATGCTCTGTAAGCAGCAAAGACTCTTCATAGTATCTAATACGATTTTAAATGTAAGATCCAAATACATTGGAATTCTTCTTTAACACAAGCAAAGTCCTCAGATAACACTAAGGGAAGAATGAACCCAACTGTTTAAAACTCAAAAGATAGGTTTGGATTCTACTGTGATTGAGTGATAAGAACTGATTCTAATGTCACATCAAATTTGTTTTTAAATGGTTATTTAGAATGGTTGCTTTTTAATGATGTTGTCTTAATTTCTTGTTAAATGTGTTACATCTATATTCATCCAACATTAATACTGATTTTGACCATTTAAGTTCAAAATACTCATGAATTAATCTATTACAAATATTCTATTACTTAGCATAGTGGTTACAAATCGGGCTGCTAACCTTAAGGCTGGCAGTTCGAAACTACCAGCTGTTCCGCAGGTAAAAGATGAGGCTTTCTGCTCCCGTAAAGATTTGCAGCCTCAGAAACCCTGTGTAGGGTCGCTATGAGTTGGAACCAACTCCACGGTACTTACTTAATCTTAAATCATTACTGAAAATCATTCAGCATAGGAACTACCATGAAAATATCATGGAAATCATCATGATCCATGTATTGTAGTTGTAATCTAGCTTAATAAATACAAGGGGACCTCAGAAAGTTCATGAAAAATGTCATTATCTTTTAATTCCATTTTTCCACAAACTTTTTGAAGCCCTCACATACAGTACTATAAACTATTTCAGTAAATTAAGAAATAACCATCCTAGTGTTATAAAATCAACTGCTAAATATATTTTCAAGGCTAAAGAATTTTTGCTTTATCTTGAAATCTTTAAGTGTGAATAGATTTCACATTATAATTACATACTTCAGAATCATACTGTTACAATGTTTTCCCATGAACATATTATTTTCGTCTTTCCTAAAATAAACACCTCACCATCTAACCTATACATGTTAGCCTTTAGAAAGCTCATAATAAATTATAGTAAAATAAAGTCACGATGATATTGAACTTGTACCATATTTAACATCATATATAACTATACTGTCACTTATTCCTATTTGGGCTTCATAACTTACTGTAATGTGACATTCTGCAGAGTGCTTCACTACAAAATAGGTCAGGACAGCAGCAAAACAGTTCCACTGTAGAAAAATGCAATAGTTTACTCTCTGGGAAAATAACAAATCTCAAAATCCTACACACTAACTCATAATTCTTTTTTTTTTCCTTTCCCCCATTATTCATTTTTACATCTCAAAGAAGTCCTTGATCTGAGGCCTCATTCTAGCTGCAATGTTATTTCCTCTGCAAATTCACTTTTAGGAAGCATGACAAAGAAAAGCAACATATCCCAAGGGCATCCCAAATAAACCAGTACAAATCCACATTCTCTTTTGCTTTAATTTGGATGTGAAGTGAGAAAGAAGAGGAAAGCCTGTGAATGCCCTTCTGGTTCTCAGGTAAAACCTCCCTGCTTTCAGATACCTCCAGGTACTCTGTCAGAGACAGAACAAAATAACACATGTACTTTATCTCAGTTTTTTAACCATCCAAGATATTTCCATCATCGACAAGATAGTCCAACCAATTTTTGAGGTTGCTGTTCTAATCCAAACTTTTTTTTAATTGCATACTTAAAAAAAATAAAAACAAAGCAAATAAAGAAATAAATAAACTCCACTTTCCTGAACGAACTTCAGGACCAATTGTGCTGCTTCAAAGTTCCCAAGTCTTAACTCAATAGTAATCAAAACCAAATGCCTTCAAAAACCTCAAGGGGTTGCTTCTTCCTTTCTGTACTCACATTTGAACAGGAAAGTAGTGTGTGCTTTTTCCTCTGCTGCCCTGCTTGGTTTTTGCCTTTAGAATTTGAAGATTTGTTCCCAAGCCCAGGAATGGACACCTGAAAGGCTGTGATTTATATATGAGAAAACAACCCTGGTTCTTGCCAGGGAGTCTGAAGCTGCTCTCCCACCCATCTTAGCTGTCCTCCAGGAAACACTGGAAAAATGGAGTGGGGTATAGGAAGGTGGGGCAGTGAGGCACAGGCTGCATCTCAAACTGCACAGGGAAATCCAAAGTAATGGAGGCAAATCTAAAAAGAATATTATTTATTATCTTCTTTATTAATAGTCACATGTAACCTTTGCTTTTTACACAAAAGTCTACTTTAGATGAATGCCTCCTTGGTTGATCACGGCCAATAAGGCTTTTTTGTTCCCAGACCACTTCCCCTTTCTCCACCCACCCCCCACAACCACATTCTTTAACATGTTCACAGATACCACGAAAAGTTTGTAAACAAGATTTGGGCTACTGGAATTTGATTATCATCAACATCCCACCTCAAAATAAAGGCAGATGACAGAGAGGGGAAGTAATGGGAGAAATGGGAAGGGAAAAAAGGCAGGGAGCGGACCGGAGGGGCAGCTGGTCAGAACTTTCAAGTCTTGCCTTTTCTGAGAAGTGTGTGTTGTGGCTGTTTCTTGAAATTCAATGACTCAAAACATTGACAGCAAATGCCTGTGTGGTTATTTATATTATATATCTGTAATAGAATATGTGGGCTTCCTCAGTTTAGGTCTGGGCTGTGTTTATTTAAACACACCAAAATCCTGCGGGTGTCCCCAAGGAGTGTCAGATCACCCCAGAAGCTCTCTTACAGCCGGGGCTTCCGGAGCAGAGTCTTGCTGAGGTCTTTGACCTCCTCAGGGCTGTTGACGCGCTCATAGCCAAGCACCGCCATGGGCTGATAGCAAAACTCCTCCACCTGTTTGATCTGCTGGAAGGTGAGGGCGGTCCGCCAGGCATTGGCAGCCTGCGTGGCATTGCGGGCAGACACCACGAAGGGCTTGGAGGAGGAGCCCGAGCCACTAGTCATGTTCAGAGCAAATTGCTCCATCTCGGGACTTACCAGCAGACCCACGAAATCATATACCCTCCTAAGAGTCTTGACAGGGTCTCCCACCAGGTCCTCGTACCGCACCACCAGGTAGTGGCCCTGCAGCCAGTCAGGGGGCTGCAGGGCTGTCTGTAGCGTCTTGGCCATGCTGTTGCATATGACCTCCATGGCTCCGAGTGCATGGTAGTCAGCTGGACCACTCATGCTCTCCTTCTTAGCGCCCAGCTTATGGCCTGCGGCCTCCAGAAAGGGCATGCGGTGGGCACGTGGGTCCCGGCTACGCACCACCTGCAGGCTCTCTCGGATGAGGCCGTGGCGTGAGCGGATTCTCGAGCTGGCCACCGCGCGGGGATCGCGAACCAGGTGGATGACCTTGAGGTCCAGGGCCGGGTCTCTCAGCAGTGGCGCCAATACAGCCACATCAAAGACCCGTACACCCTTGATGACAAGTGTGTGGTACTTTCGGCACTCCTCTTCGAATCGGGCCAGGCGCTGCGGTGGGCACTTCTTGCACACACGGTCGTCCACGAGCCCCACGACTTCCTTACGATAGGCGGGACAGAGGGGCGACGAACATACCACCTTGTTGGTGGCTGCACCGAAGATGCCCAAAGTGGTGAGGTTGCGCCCCCCGCTGCCTGCGGGGCTGTACAACTGGAAGACAGAGAGGTCGCAACGATAAAGAGCGCTCAGCATGTCCCGAGCCGCCCCCTGGAGGGAAACGGCATCCCCTGGGTACAGCTTTTGCCACACGTGCCACACTGGCTCGTAAAGAAAGAACACCTCGGGGTTCTGGTTGAAAAGCTCGCCGAAAAAAGACGAGCCTGAGCGCCATGTGGTGAACACATACACCAGCTGTCGCTTGTCCCCACTACCCCCGCCGCCCCGGCTGCCATTGCCCGGAGGGGCCGCGACTCCTGAAGCGCCAGCCGCGATGGCGTTAGCTGGCGAGTGGTACGGAGTGCGGAGGTCAAAGCGAGTGTGCGCTCGGGGCGGCGCTGCTGGAGGCGAACCAGGACGCCCCCAGCCGCCCCCCGCCGCGGCGCCCAGCGGCCCGTCGGGGCTGCACTGCTGCAGCGGCTCCTTGTGCCACTTGTAGTCCAGGAGGTTGAGCATGGTGAGCACCAGCAGCAGCGCATAGCCAGCGCACAGCACCAGAGCCTTTCTGCGGAACACCTTCATGCCGAGCGGAGACGCGGGCCAGTGGCGACCCGGTCGTCGGGGCCACGGCGGGAGCAGGGCGCGCGGCGCGGTGGTGGGCGGCGCAGCCGGGAGCAGTCGGGGAGGCGTGCCCGAGGGCTGGGCTCGAGGCGGGCCACGGCTCATCACAGGCACAGTCCCGGCCGGCGGCGCGGCGGAGGTGGCCCTGCAGCCCGGGCTAGGGACGCAGCGAACCAGCTGCGAGCGCGGGAGCTGGGGCCGCTGCTGCGAGGCTGGCGCAGCGGCAGCGGCGTCTGGTCCCCGGCACCCGGAGCTGGCTCTCCCATGGCAGCGGCTCCGGGAAGGACCTGCGAAAGGAAATGGAGTGAGCGGGTGCACCCCAGTCTTCCTCCTAGCTCCCCACCCTTGCCTAAATAAAGTCTGGGGTCTGGTCCGGTCCCCAGCTCACCTGGAGCCGCGGGCGTGCCCCAGAGAGGCCGGGATCACCGCCCACTGGTTTGTCCGGCTATCACTCGTTCTTCGATTTCTCACTCGCTCTCTCCCGACGCGGGTCCCCGAATCTTAGATGGGCCACAGGACTCACTGGCCCTCGGCAGCCGAAGTCCTGAGCAGAGTTCCGGGCAGTGGGCGTCCCGCGCGCGGCTCGGGAAAGGAAACTTTCACCCGGCCCAGCGCCCAGCTCTGCGCTCTGTCGATTGCCCGGCGCGTCCTGGCTCCAACGGCGTCTCCACCGCTCTCTTGAGACCGCAGCTTTCCTCCCTCGCCCGCGCACCGCGCTCCTGGGGGCGAAGCCGACTGGGGGTGGCAGAGGGAGGGGGCTTACACAGGACCCGTTTCCTGGCACATCGGCTCTGCCTCTCTCGCTCTCGGCCTCGGCGCCGTTAATCTTCCCCGCGCTCTGGTGGCAGCGGCGTACGGAGAGCAACGCGACCCTGCAACGGCCGCGGTGGCTTCTTCCATCATCCAGAGAATGCCCGGACGGGCAACGCCGGCGGCCCCCGCCGCTCCGCAGCCTCTGGACTGGCCCTGAAGGATCCTGCACGCACACCTCTGGGCAAAGGAGCCCGGGTCCGCACCGCTACCCTGACCACCCTACCCTTAGCACCACCTCGACCCCGGGCCCTAGCCGCTTCTGACAACAAGGTATCGGAGCAGAAGAGACGCCGCTGCCGCCGCCAAGTGAAAGCGGCTCCGGGGAGGATGCTGCTACCCGACTCCCCCTACGCCTAGCGAGCGGCTGCAACGCGCTCAAGCCAGCCTCTGCGCGGCTCTTGCCAGCCGGCTCCGGGTTGGTGAGCGCGGCCGTCTGTCCTCGAGGCTCCTCCTCTTCACTGCGCAGCCCTCCCCCTCCGCCCGCCCCGCGCCCTCCCCTTATTGCTCCCTGTGCCTTCTCCTCTCACAGCTCGCTTCTCCTGCCGCTCCCGCCGCCTCCACTTTAAGGGATTGAAATGTGGATCTCAGTCTACAGCGGCGCCTCTCAGGTCTCTCTTGGAGGAGGGCGTAGCTCTTCATGCGCAAAGCGTGCGAGGGGCGGACGTGGGGTTCGGAGCTCTCAGCGCCTCCAGCTGACATATGGATTCTGCTTCTCGCCGAACTCGGCCTCCTGTTTTTTGCGCACGGAGTTAGTGATAAAGTTTGGGCAGAAATCCCAGCGACCTTCCGCTCCGCTCTCCTCCAACACTCGGCGCAGCCTGACTTTTCCGAAGCTGAGGACTCATCCGCGCTTGTAGCGCTCCAAGAACTCGGAGCGCGTACTTCTCAATCCTGGCTTGCTTGTCCCAGTTGCCTGTGGTTTTTTTCTTCTCGGAGGAAGTAATAAATCTTTCTGACCTTGGGGTCAAAGAAGACGCTTCAGTTTTCCGGGATGTGTGCCTCAGGGTGTCTTCACCGGGCTTAACTTGATCTATGGTCAGGGCCTGTCCGGTTTTATTAGCCTCCCTCTCCCCCACACCGCACCCCTACAGATCTTCCTACAGCACCTCTAATAATGATGCTTCCGTTGCGATTGGCGTCCTCGGAATCTGGATAGGGTAGATAGACTGTTCTAATTTACAATAAAATACTTGCCCTACTTCTTGGTTTTACAGATGAGATCAAAGGAATTGACCCCAAAAAAAACACTGTTACTGGAAAAGCCTAGGGCTGGTAGCGTAGTGGTTACGAATCGGGCTGCGAACCGCAAGGTCAGCAGTTCGAAACTACAAGCTGCTCCGCGGCAGAAAGATGAGGTTTCTGCTCCTGTAAAGATTTACAGCCTCGGAAACCCTGTACAGGGTCGCTATGAGTCGGAACCGACTCCACGGCACATAACAACAAAGGGCTGGTTTACCTACTACTTTCCATCCCTCTGTCTGTCTCTGTCTCTCTGAATTAAGGGAACCAAGAACACCACGCCATAGCTTCAACTTCATTTGTAAAAGGACACAATTACATTGCCTCGAATATTGAACCAGGCATTAAAGTGCCCAGACGGGTGATTAAATTTACAAATTCAGGCCTGCATCACAGAGGTAGGGGCAAACAGAGCCCTGAGGAAAACAACACCTATGGCAATTAAATTGTTGAATGATCTCTCAAAACTAGCTGTGGAAAGTGCAGTGGCCAATAGAAATTGCTCCTTGCCCGCCCCCCCCCCCCAGGGGTGGTGAACCGCCCTTTCTAGTGGCATCCAGGGTACATCAAAGGCAGATTAGAAAAAGAACTAGGAACTGCTATCTATGTCTATCTATATTTTGTTGTTGTACTTGTCATGGAGTCGGTTTGTGACTTTGTATAGAGTTTCCAAGGTTTTAAGTCTTATGCGGGAAAGCGTCATCTTTCTCTCGCTCAGAATGCTTGGTGGATTCAGACTGCTGACTTTGTGGTACACAGTCCAGTGCTTATGTTGTAGAGCCACCACACTCCCTATCTATAGTTATGTCTCTATGCACTTAACAACAATGACAATGTATGTCTATGTCTATATCTGTTGTTGTTGTTAAGTGCTGTTGAGTCACTGCCGACTCATTGGAACCCTGTATAGGTTTTCCGATAAGGGACTACTGAGTTTGAACTGCAATCCTTGCAGTTCAAACCGACCTTGTGGTACAATGCTTATCCTACAGAGCCACACCAGGACTCCATGTTAATATCTCTATATCTGTATCTATCTCTGGCACTCAGTAGCCCTGCATATATTCAGTGGTATCTTAGAAATAAACGTACTTAACAATCTGAGAAGAAATAAGTTTTACACACATATCCCAAACAGCAAAGATCCAATAGTAAGAGGACAATGACTGCAACAAAATATTTTAACTGTATCTGGTGATGTATGATGGAAAATAAAGGTCTAGTCACTTAAGAATACTTGCAAATTTTTATCTTTTGTTTTTGTTGTTGTTAGGTGCCATAGCGATGCTATATAAGGTTTCCAAGGTTTTAAATCTTCATGGACGCAGAAAGCCTCACCTTACTCCGATGGAGCAGCTGGTGGACTCAAACTGCCCACCTTGCGGTTCTTAGTCCAGTGCTTACCCTATACTTCCTTAATTCCAAACTGTGAGCCAACAGACAAAGAAGTCTTCCCCTAGAGCTAGTGCCTAAATTTGGCCTTCTAGCCTCCTAAACTGTGGGAGCCCCACACGTCTGTCAGTTTGTCATACCATGATGGCTTGCTTGTTGCTGTGATGTTGGAAACTATGACACTGGTGTCTCAAATACCAGCAGGGTCACCCATGGTAGACATGTGGCAGTGGCGCTTTAATACTAAGGACAGACTAGAAAAAAGGAATAGGCAGTCACTTTTGAGGGGCTGTTGTTATTAAGTGCTGTCAAGTCGGTCTCAACTGATAGCAAGCTTGAACTGCAGACCTTGCAGTTCAAACTGAACTTGCAATCCAGTGCATTAACCCAGTGCCACCCCAGGACTCCTTTGAGGGATTAGCCCCTTAAAATCTTATGAATAGCAGTGAAACATGGTCTGATACAGTGCCAGAAGATGAACCCCTCAGGTTGGAAGACACGCAGAATTTAACTGAGGGAAAGCTTCCTCAGTAGACTAGACCTTAATGATATGGGTGGAGCAACGCTTTCAAGACTTCCATTTGCTAATAGGGTATGACACAAAATGAGAAGAAACAGCTGCAAACATCCATTAATAATTGGAGCATAGAATGCAGGAAGTACAAATCTAGGAAAATCGGTTGATGTCAAAAATGAAATGGAATACATATATTCTCATATTCTAGGAATAAAATGGAGTCCTGGTGTGGTATTGTAGGCTAATGTGTCAGACTGCAAAGTCAGTTTGAACTGCAAGGTCAGTGGTTCAAGCTCACCAGCTGTTCCTTGGAAACCCTATACAGGGTGGCTGTAGGTCGGAATTGACTTAACGATACTTAACAACAACAAGTTGTTAACGGGTATTGGTCATTTTGAATCAGTCAATCGTATGGTTTACTATGCTGGAAATGACAAATTCAAGAAGAATGGCATCACATTCATAGTCAAAAAGAACATTTCAAGATCTATCTTGAAATACGTATTGTCTGTGATAGGATCATATCTATATGCCTATAAGGAAGTCCAATTAATACCACTATGATTCAAATTTATGCAAAACCACTAAAACCAATGATGAAAACACTGAAGAATTCTACCAACTTCTTCTGTCTGAAGTTGATCAAATATGCAATCAATATGCAATCAATATGCTGATAGAATTTTGCAAATATCTTATTTCAACAGCATATAAGGCAACATCACCAGCTAGAATAGACAGCAACCAAACTGAGTACCTCTGTGGGAAGAGACAATGAAGTTCAGTATCATCAGTCACAACAAGGCCAGAGGGCAAAATGTGCAACAGACCATCAATTGCTCATATGCAAGTTCAGGCTTAAGCTAGAAGAAAATTAAAGTAAGTTCATGAGAGCCAAAATTCAACCTTGAGTATTGTTGTTGTTATGTGCCATGGAGTTGGTTTCTGAGGCTGTAAATCTTTATGGGAGCAGAACACCTCATCTTTCTCCCAAGGAACTGCTGGTAGTTTCGAACTGCTGAACTTGAGGTTTGCAGCCCAACTCGTAACCACTATGCTACTATTTGTTGTTGTTATGTGCCGTGGAGTCGGTACTGACTCATAGCGACCCTGTACAGGGTTTCCGAGGCTGTAAATCTTTAAGGGAGCAGAAAGCC